GTCTTCCTGCTGCTATACAACGTATCAGAATACAGAAAATAAAAGACATGGTTAATAGAAATACATAATCAACCCATATGTAATCAGTCTTCCTGAATGGCCCTTATGCCCAAACATTAAACCATGTGCATCAGTAAATATAAAATATTAACAACTAAGTCAGCATGTGCTTATGCTGTTACTATGTGCTAGGCTTTCCACATCCTTTACAGGAATTAACTCACTTAATGATGATAACAACTCTATGAGTAAATATTTTACCATCTCAATTGAGGAAAAAGTCTCAGGTTAAGTAACTTGTTAAAGGGCATACAATTAGCAAGGCTTGAAGCAGGGATTTGAATCCAGGAGTTTAGAATCTGTGCCTCAAAGACTGCATCGTGCTATATATGATATGGCGTCTGCTGTCAAAGATGAAGAGCTACATCTAAAAATAAGACAGAAATAATTGGGGAAGTAGAAATAAAGAGCAGGGCATATTTACTCTCAACTGAATTGAATGGTCCAGTGTTCTTTCAAAGGGAAGTTGGGCATGGGTATGTGAGACAATCCATGCAATTTAGAAAGAAAAAGCTGGAATTTCTATTTCTATTACTAATTTGTAGAACAGCCTGAACGGCCAGTACAAGCTCTTTATCATGAAAGAAACCAACGAAGGTCTGATGCGCTCTAATGAGACACAATCCCAACAGATAAAATTATCGAGTGAAATATGGATTGATGTCTACTGTCATTGAAATGATATACACCAAAGAAGAGGTTCATCACTGACATCGCCTATTGTTAATGACAGTAGAACGTTCATTGACCGGATGAGAGTGATGAAGTAATGTGTCATGGGAAAGAACACAGCAGTGAACATCACTGACAAGAATTCCTGCTTTTGCAGACCTTATGTTCCAGTTGGGGAGGACTGGTCAAAATGCACAAAGGAAATATGTTTGATGACAGTGTATGCTAAGGAGAAAAATAAAGCAAAGAAAGGGTAGGCGGAGTTGGTGAAAGTGTTCAAGGTTTAGGTAGGATGGCTGGATAAGGCTTCAGTGAGAAGGAACTGTGTGAATAACTACCTGTAGGATGTAAAGGATGACCTATGAGGAAGAATGCTACATACATGCACATGGACATGCACACATATACACATGCACATGTGTGCACATGCATACCTGCACATAGAACAAGTGCTAATACCATGAGATGGGTATGTAAGAGGAGGTATGGGAGGTTAAGAACAAAGAGGAGGGTGGTATGACCAGTCTAGTAGATAAGAAGAGGGATAGGAGGTGAAGTGGAGTGATAATAAGGGATGTGTGTACAAATATGTAAAAGGACTTTGGCTTTTCCTGTGAGTAAAATGGGACACCATTGGAGGGTGTGAACAAAAAATGACATGATCTGGCTCATGTTTCTAGAAGATCATTAAAGCTGCTGTGTTGAAAATACACTGTAGGAAAGTAAGGGCAGAAGCAGGTATACCAGTTGAAAAGTCTATAGTAGTTTTTCAGATGAGTGACAGTGATGGCCTGAGGCAGAGTAGAGGCACAGAGAAGGAGCTAGATATGGGATATGATTTGATGGAACAACCAGCATTATTTATATGCATTATTTATATTCAGAAGCACACTGTGGGTAAATACTAAGAGTTTCCACTCATAGAGATACAAGATGAAAAAGTGTGGAGTCTGCTGGAATAGACAGTATATAGTCTCAAGAACCTTGAGGATACAGGTCACTCTGCTGGATGTGGGTGGGTCCTGAAGAAGGGGTAATATTCAGACAGGTAGAAAGACTGAGGAGCACCATGAGGTCTGAGGGGAAGGGAGGTAGCTCTCCCAGGCTTGTTCTGAGCTTCTCTCTGTGGAGAGTGCTGAGCAGTAGGTTTTCAGGTTCCCATTCCAGAACTCCAGGTAGAGCAAATTAAATTTTTTCTTCAGGCATTGAGGGTGACTGGGAAGTTTTGATCAGGAGAGTGAGTGGTATGGGTTTGCTTCAACAATTGGCTCTTCTAATAAGTTCTAGAAGAGTGCCATTGGAGGAGCTTCCATATGACCCAGCAGTCCCACTCTTAGGAATCTATCCAAAGGACACAAAAACATTAATTCAAAAGGATGCCTGCACCCCTATGTTTATTGCAGCACTATTTACAATAGGTAAGACTTGGAAACAACCCAAATGCCCCAAATTAGATGACTGGATCAAGAAGATGTGGTATATATACACAACAGAATACTGTTCAGCAATCAAAAAAAGATAAACTAATGTCATTCGCAGCAACATGGATGGAGCTGGAAGGGATCATGCTCAGTGAAATAAGCCAGAAGGAAAAAGAAAAATACCGGATGGTTTTACTTATAGGAGCAATGTAGGAGAACCAAATAAGAGACCAGGGAAAAAGTAATTATGATAAATTAAAAAATAAAACTAACAGGCAGCTATTAATCAGAGACACTCTGCAAGGGAGGGAGAGGGAAAGGGATGAAAACAGGGGAGGGAATGTGTTCTTACACAAGGGACTATGGTGATGGTACACGGGTGAATTGGTGGTGGGAATTTTGCCTGAGAGGAGAAAACATGCATTGTACAAAGAGGAAGAATGATGTAAAATTTATATATAAAAAAAAATTAAAATAAAAAAGTGCCATTGGATAATCAAATAATAAATGTTAACTGAATAGCCAGACTGAATTATTTTCTAAATGGGGCTAAGTTATATAACAAGTTCACTGACATATATTTATACTTATTCACATATTTTAATATATTTATATATGGTATAGTTGCCATATATAGTATTGCATAGTGTATAAATATGCATATATATTTTTCTGTTAATTATTCCGAAGGAATTATAAGTGTTTGCTACATTTTAAAATTCCCTGATTATATAGCTGAATTTTAAAAAGTCTACATCTACATTTCATAAAGTAGTTATCTAATTGGCTTTCCATTCACTGGATAATTGCGAGGTCCTGCCAGCTTGCATGCTGCACAATGCTTCTTGGCGCTCTGAGATTCTGTTCTCAAGTGCCGCGGGCATAAACAGTATGGCGGAAATACCCTCTTCCCTGTCTGTGTTTGTAAGACAGTCTCTTTCATGCCAGAAGAACTATTTTGGGAAGATGATTCATGTCACATTTTGGCCTCATTACAGTTTTAAGTTGTAAATGGTGCTGGTTCGCCTGAAGGTGTAAACATAAATTTTATCCTCACATGCATATGGGAATACCTGGAACTGGAAAAGTACTTTCTATTCTTGAGTTCTGTTTTAGGCTATAGACAGAGAAGTTAAGATATTTATCAAAGTTCTAATTTTATTTTATTAAAAGCATGATTTCAAAAGAAAACCCATTACTTGAGGCTGTGCCTTTATTCTCCATTTCCAAACACAGATGGAGAAGTTGAAGAACCTAAATGTCTTATTGTTACAAGCAGATGATTCTGTAAAATAAACACTGCACTTTTTCTTTTTGGAATAGTGTGAAAATTGAGAGCAGGTGTTAAATTACTGTCTGTAGTTACAAGTAACAGAAGGTACAAGATTAGTCTGTTTATTTAGGTGTAGATGATAAAGTAAGGTGTAGCTATTCTGATTATTCCACTTTGCTTCCTGGTAAATAAGCACTATTGAAAGAAATCAGTAACCCACTTATTTACTCAGTGATTTGAATGCAGGTGATAGTGATAGAAATAAAAGACATGTATCAAGAGTTTGTTCTCAGGCCTAGCACACAGGAGTACTTTAAGAGTGTGTATTGATGTCTCCAAATAACTGAATTTCAACAACACGAAAAATAGTTGGTGTGTAGTGTGGCTAGATTTTTCTATGACTTTCTAAGAATTTCACATCTTACCTTAAAATTTAAAAATCAGCAAAATATTATTTTTTTAAAATTTTAAATCACAGGAGTAAAATCAATATAAAGGAATGACAGCAAATTTGTTTTGTTTGTTTTTTTGCTATAAGTTCATGTTGATGACCAAATTTTTTTGGTGAAAGTACAACCTTTCTGATCTACTAACAGTAAGACCCCACCTCACCCCTGCTTCAGACATGTGTTCTATTATTTTTTAATTCTGCTGTGGATTGGTGCTTTTCATTTGGACCTTCTGATTCAGGCCATTTGAGGAGGTTTAGTGATTTTTAACTGAGATTCCTCAGCTACCAATAAGTCAAATGCATTGTGAGAAATTTTTTGATTCTAAAGTGGTAACTTGAAAAATACTAGTGATCTGAGGGCACCAGTTTTTCCAGTCCACGCAAACATCCAGCTTCAAGGGAAAATCTGGCATTGAGTTCCCTTAACTGTTAGAATCTCCCAGCTGTGTAAATGACATCTACTCTTTTCTTTTCTTCCTATCTTGAGACTTCCTTTGATCTCTTGGTTACCTGGTGACTGCCTCATTAATGAGGTGGGGTCTGATAAATCAGAATTTTATAATTTATTGGGTCTGGGGTGTGGTCTGAGAACTTATATTAAACAATGAAACAAAAGCAACCAAAAGTTTCTCCAGATGATTCTAATTTTTTTAAAGATTTATTTATTTATACATGTAAGAACTGGGGTACAGGCCCAGGTGCAGAGGGGGTGAGAGGATTTACCAGAGACAGAGTGGGGAACAGAACAGGAAGATTGACTGAGATACACTGCTGAAGGGAGCAGCAGGCGAATCAGGAGGGATCTGCTACACCATGTGGGTAACTCCCTGGCTGGGGATTGAACTTGTGCTGCAGTGGCTGTGGCGAGCTTCATAGGTTGTGTCTTAATCCCTTGTGCCACCAGGGAGGCCCAATGATTTTAATGTTTTAAGAGGATAATAATAATTAAATAAGGGCCGTTTGTTGCCAATCCAAATATCAATATACATAGACCCAATATCTAAAGTTCTCTGTTTTTGAAAGTCTCAAATTGGGTTAAAATGTGGCTCATGCATGGTCTGACTAAATTTAGACAACTAATGAAATGTTGTTATATTTCACATTTCCCCTTCTGTCTTCTCAGCCATCATGTATGTCATGGGAGCACTTGGTCCTGCAGTGGGATATTTATTAGGTGGTCTTCTTATTGGTTTTTATGTTGACCCCAGAAATCCTGTTCACCTTGATCAGAATGACCCTCGTTTCATCGGAAACTGGTAAGTCTTGTTTACTAAATTTTTCATTTCATGTATTATTATTGATAATTAACTCATAGTGTCATTGTAGTTAAGATAAAATTTTCCCCAATGGGAAGATGAAACAAAGCTAATCGACACCTAAGAAGTGGTGGTAGGCAGAATAACAATGTTTAAGATATCTATGATCTAATTCCAGGACCTAGGAATATTTTACCTTAGATGGTAAAGGGACTTTGAGGATGTGATTAAGCTAAGGATCTTGAGATGAGGAGATTATCCTGGATGACCTGGATGGCTCAGTATAGTCTCAGGAGTCCTTATAAGGGAAAGAGGGAGTCAGGAGAGTCAGGGTAAGACAAGGAGAAATGATGATTAAAACAGAGGTTGGCGTGATCTGCTTAGATGGCACCGTGGGCGGAGGACTGCCAGTGGACTCTGGGAGCTAGGAAAAGCCAGGAAATGGGTTCTTCCCCAAGAGTCACCAAAAGGAATGCAGTCCTGCCAACCCATTTTCAACTTCTGACCTGCAGAAGTATCAGATAATAAATTTGTGTTGTTTTAAACCTTGGTGTGATCATTTGTTTTAGCAGCCAGAGGAAATTAATACAGCCAGTTTGGGAACATCAACTTAATCCATACCCTTTAGGGTTGTTTCCTTTATAGCAGACTGGAGAAGAAGGACAATGTGATGGAGTCAGGACCTTCCTGTGTATTTTAATCATAGCTTTCATCATCTTTTCTGTCTTTACAAAATGATTTTTTCCATTATAAAATGAGTTTTTCTATTATAAAATGATTTTTTTCCATTTCCTTCTTATATTTGTGTTTCTGCTTTGTCAGCCTTCCCCCACTGCCCAGAACTCTAGCCCTGCTTTTCCATTGTCATGCTCTTAGTGAATCTTATCACTTGGTAACTGTTTCTCTATGGGTGCTAGAGATTTAGCTGCTCTGTCATCTGCCGGCACCTAATTGTCTTGCTAAATAAATAATGAGAACTCTAATTTTGGGTGTTATGTTATTTATCCAAATAGCCAGCACTGTGTTTGAGTTCTTTGTGATTCTCAACTTGAATATAATTTTTTTTTCTTAGTGACTGCAAGCACTAATGGAAATTATTGGCATCCCAGATTCATTTAACATGGATTAGTAATATGCATGTGCTAATAAGAAATTTTCATTTTATAAAAAGAATAATTTGGTATTAGAATTTAATGTCAAGTAATTGCTTTCTAAAGAGTTTCTTAGAGTACTTGTATTTCATTATGAAATAATAAACTCATAACTATGAGGTATGTGGTAATACTCTTGATACTATTTTCAAAGCAGTTAGTAAATATTAAGTTATAGATCACTCTTTGTAAGATATGCTCTTTGAAGGTGGAAATACTAAGATCTAGAGGAGCCTGACCTAGTGGAATTTTAAAATCCCGAAAAGGAAGCAACTCCTTTCTTAGTATTAGGGGAATAACACAGGAGTTTTAAGTTATTGACCAATACTGAACTTTTGGTTTCTACTATTGTTTTCTTTGCCATCCTGAAATAAGTCAGAGGAAGGACTTTCTTTAATTTTCAGAAAACTAAAATATATTTGTGACATCCATTATATGGTCTGTGTTCTATATAGATGTTGATGAGAAGAGCATGGTAGAGGGACAGAAAAAGGCAAGGAGGACCAATTCAGAGGCAGGAAGGAGGAGGAAGCCAGTAACCTTAGACTTACAAGTGCTTTTATGCTGTCTTTAAAAAGCTTTCTAGTAGACAGCAATCCAACTGGTAGCAATTTCCACTCTGCCACTTAATAGCTGTGTGACCTTGGGGAAGTTACTTAGAGTCTCTTTGTTCACTTTTTTTTAAAAAAAATTCAAACCCATTTAAACCCATAAAGTAGAAGTAATTATATAGTACCTGCTTCATAGGGCTGTAAGGAATAAATTAGTCTATGTATAGTTCTTGCCACATAGATGTTAGCTACTATTCAGTTCTTTAAATTTAACCAATGTTCAGGTAGTTCAACTCATTTTAATTACTCAATATTAGCTCTACGAATGATAAAATTAATCAATATAGAAATATATAATAGGGGTCTCTTTAAAAATGAATGCTGTTGGGTCTCCCTGGTGGTGCAGAGGTTAAGCCACTGCAGCACGAGTTCGATCCACAGCCAAGGAGCTACCCACATGGTGCAGCAGCAGATCTTTCCTGACTCACTCACTGCTCCCCTCAGCAGTATATTTCAATCTGCCTGTTCTGTTCCCCACTCTCTCTGATGAGTCCTCTCACTGCCCCGCCCCCCATATCTCTGGCCTGAGCCCCAGCTCTTGTATGCATAAATAAATAAATCTTTAAAAAAAATAATAAAAATGAATGCTGTTTAATGACTGGTGCTATTTGAAACAGGCTTGACCAAAAACTAGTTACTTGATACGATGTTATTTTATATGATGCCTACCAGTAAATATAGGTTTTTCAATAAACATATTGAAAAGGCAAAGGAATGAATGGATGAATAATTCATATTTATCACTAATATTTATCAGATGCTTACTATCTGTCAATCATCACACTAAGAGCTTTTAAAAACATTTTCATGTAAACTTTATGGCAAATACCTATAGTCACGAATATGCCCATTTTGCAGATGAGAAAACTGATGCTCAGTGTTTTGAATTCCTTGCCCAAAGTCTCAAGTCAATGAAGCTGGGATAAGAAGCTAAGTCCAAGGCAGAGGTCTTGGCAATAACTAACAATTCCCCTTCCCCCACATACTTAGTGAATAGTTTGAGATCAGATTCATGAAAGGTAGTTAGATACCCTGAATTTTTAATTTTAGCTCTTACTGCTGTATCTTGTATGGAACAACAGCTCATAACTTGTTATCTTTCTCAGCTTCTCTTTGGGGGTCTCTTGGTGCCATCATTATGTCATATGCCTATATCATTACTGGAGACCATTGAAGTTATGTGGGCTGGTTTGTTCTGCTTTGCAATGATCTGAACTTTTTACTTTTTGCTTATTTGCTTAATTCCTTCCCTTTTCCTGTTATTTGCTTTCACTTTGGGTTATTACCAGGGTATCTTTAATATTTACATATAATTTTTTTTAGATTAATTTTTTTAAAGACTTATTTATTTATGCATAGGAGAACTGTGGTACAGGTCAGAGGTGTGGGGGGTGAGAGGATACACCAGAGACAGAGTGGGGAACAGAACAGGCAGATTGGCTGAAATACACTGATGAGGGGAGCAGGTGGAGTCAGGAAAGGTCTGCTGCACCATGTGGGTCACTTCCTTGGCCAGGGATCGAACTCGTGCTGCAGTGGCTGTGGATAGCCTCATAGGTTGTGTCTCAACCCCTTGTGCCACCAGGGAGGCCCCTTACATATAATTTTAAGCAATATCTCTGGATGGGGCCTGAGTGCAGATCATAAATGCACAAAACTAGTTACCATGAATTGATTGCTGATTTTGCTGTATTTTATTAGGTTCTATATATATATATATATATATATATAATAGTCTTATCAATATATCTTATTTATATATATATATAGTCTTATCAATTAGAATGATCCTGAAAAACATTTATTATTCTCTTCTTTCAGATGAAAAGACAGTTTAGAAAGTGAAATAGTTTCCCTAGGATATTAGAGCTAGTAAAATGTGGGATTAAAAACTTGGTCTGTCAAAGTCACAGTTCAAAAAACCATCCCTTACACAAATGCTGCCTGCCCTGTTCTGGAAAAAAGGGAGGTAAGGAACTCCCTCTTGAGAGGCCTAGGGAACTGAAAGAGCTCAGGGGACTTGAACACAGTTTCCCAAAAGAAAGGGTTAGATTAGTGAAAACCTTATAAGTGGCCAAGTATGAAAGAGGCCAGATACTATAATAGCTATGCCTCTTACAGACAGATGACTTTAATTTTTAAAACCTATCTCATTCAAGTTATTTATTCAGGAAATTTTTTTGAGCACCTAATTTGTTTCAGGCACTGGGTTCATGATTACATTCTGTATAATTGAGATTTCTCAAAGTCTGCCCTGAGCAATTTTCTCAAAATAAAGCTATTTTATGATTGTTCAAAAATCTTTTTATTTGATATTGCTTTAAATATCTTTGAAATTAACATAATGGGTTATTAATGCCTGGTTCTAAGAATCATTCTTTTAGCTAAACTGTGACCTCTAGCAGCTCATAATAGCACTTTAATAGAAGCACTATTTTTAAAAAATGAATTATCACTATGAAATTGATCTATATTCTTACTGACTTGAATTTGACATTAATGCTTAAATCTGCTTGTGTTCCTGTCACAAGTGATGGGACCATGTTAACATAGAAGACAAAATACAAGCATTTACGAATGTGGACGCTTTAAAGAAAGTTTGAAGTGGAGCAATTCTACTATGGAAATGACAACCTGTTAGGTAGGAACAAGTTCTCTATTTGCTGAAAAATGATTTAAGAGCACTAAGAAATTGCCCTTGTGGAATAGGCAGCAAGAAGTTCCTGTCTTTAACCCATGGCTCTAATGCAGAACTAGAATTTGAGTTCCACTGGGTATGTGCTCTTGGGTCTTCAGAGCATGGCCACTTCAGAGGAGCTGAGAAACAGAATCTCACTTCTAGAAAACAATGTTCTACATCTCCTACCAAGTTCTCAGACATGTCTTGATTTTCCCACCGAACTTTTATAACATTTATAGTCTATATATACTACACAATCTATCACTCAATTGTATACATTCTTGGCATTTCTTGGGGATTATTTTTTGTATGTTTAGCTGTATTACAACTACATTATATGTTCCTGAAGCAAGGATCAAGTGTAAATATCTTTGATAGCCCTTGTGCTTGGTAAAGGATTGTGAATGCTAGTAAGAGGCGCTGGTGATTCTGGCCACCGTGACAATGTGTGGGTTTCTCCCCCACATCAGGTAATTCTCTGATACCAGTTGGGGTTCCTACAATTCAACTTAAATCTGCTGCTTAAATCAACAACTTTTGGAGATTGAACACACTTTGCCTCCAGGTCGGTTGGGGTAGGGCTGAAACTTCCATTCCCTACTCATAAAGTTGGCTTCCCAGGCAATCAGCCTCCATTTTAGGGTTAAGTAGGGGCTTCTCAACAAAACTTGCAGCCAAACTATAGATCTGAAGCATACACCAAGGGAAAGAGAGGGAAGAACACAAGGGACTATGGTGATGGTTCATGGGTGATGTGGTGGTAGAACATTTATGGGGATGACACCTCAGGAGAGAAATTAAATATTGTACAAAAATGAACAACAATGTAAGAAAGTAAAAAAGTTTAATCAATAATAAAAAAATAGGGACTTATCCAAATTCATTTCATTAACATAGCAAAGGACACTTTTACACTTCAGAATTTCAGGGGTTTTTGGAGCTCTGTGCTAGAAACTGGACTTAGGCTAAATAGATACTTCTTGTAAATCACCACGTCAAAGGAGCCAATACATCCGTAATTCCTTGAAGGAAAATATTTGAATGCCATCATTAGTCTGAAGTATATTTTACATGAGATATCAATGGTTTTCTTTTAAGAAAAATATGTCTGTAACAATACATAAAGCATGCTATAAAGACTAAATTATTTTCTATTAAATTTGTGAGCTATCTTTTTATAAAATGCACATTGTAGGAGGACTAACAATATCGATTAACAGAAATAACATACGTGCTCAAAAATACTGGAGTGAAATTCTCAATAGATTACTGAAGTTGGATAAGCTTATCCAACTTGCTATTTACTTTGCAACTGATCATGGTAAAAGTTTTCTCTGGAGAAATTTATCACCACAAACTTCTGCTTTGCTAGTTTTTTCTCACATGTATTACAAAAGCCATAAATGCCATTCACATTTCCTGATTTTTTTTAGGTGGAGTGGATTCCTCCTTTGTGCCATTGCAATGTTTCTTGTGATATTCCCAATGTTTACTTTTCCAAAAAAGCTTCCGCCTCGACACAAGAAAAAGAAAAAGAAAAAATTTTCTGTCGAAGTTGTTAGTGATGACGATGATGTTATGAAGGAGAAATCAAACAATAACGAACCAGTGGACAAAAAAGTTTCTTCTATGGGATTTGGAAAGGATGTCAGAGGTAAAGGATACCTTTTGAATAAATAAGAGCATGCTACTTTGTATCAGTGCTACTCAAAGTGTGGTCCCAGGCCAGTGCTGCCTATCAACTGTATCAGCTAAGTAACAACCAAAGTTGAGAGTAAGTGAGAAACTTAAAAAAAAAAAATTGACAGAGTGATTTTGTGTCTTTGAATATAATACAAATAATAATAATGAGATACTTTGTGCTTTCATTTTGTATATTTTTTAAAATTTTCTAATTCATCTTCAATATATTTTGCACAAGTATCAGTATATGATAGACTGAAAAGAATATTAAGTAAATGGTCCTTCTTCACAGGCAGTTTGAGAAGCACTGATTTAGATCTTAAAGATATAGATATTTATATATGTATATGTCATTTACTGTAATTAGAGATATCTGATTTTTAAAATACTATTGCACTATATAATGGATGGTTGGTTTCAGGGGAACAGTGGGCTTGGTGAATGACTTGCTCCTTATTGAAATATACCTGCCACTAGAAAAGGATTGCATTTAACATTGACTGTCAAATGCTTCTAAGTTGTTAGAGCCAAGGGCAGCCAGGGTGTGGGCCTCCCAGTCCAATGTGAAAACCTCCAGAAGTTTCCATGATGTGTGCAGGTCATTTTTCATTTTTATTTCTCTTGAAAATAATGACAATAGGCAATTAAACAGGCAATTTTTTTTTCAGGATACAAGATATCTGTTGAGTAGCAAATAATCCCTTTACTCCAAGAAACATGTATACTCCCATTAGGTTCTGCCTATTTCCTGAATTTCCTGAATTGATTTTTTTAAATTAAAAAGCATAATATTTATCAGATGTTTATTATCAGTCGATATTGTTTTAATTAAAATTTACATAAATATATTATCATCTTGCTTTGACTATATACACAATAAAGCCGAAGAGGAAGCTTCCAGGCCTTGATTGAAATTAGCTTGTCCATATAGCCTGATTCAACTGGAGTGGTTTGATTAGACTTTTTAAAATATTGTATTTGCTCAGAGCAAGTGACTGACAATTCATTGAAAATGTTTCTTCCAGTTAAGTTTCAGATTTGTCTCCCTTCTCTTCTCCCTGCCCCATTATTTTGTGACTGTGTATTTTGGAAACTGTCAATATTACTCTGCTCTATGAAGGTGAAGGTGTTCCTGGGTGCCATTGTGGTCTGAGGTCTCATCACATGGTCTAGCCCATCATTTCATGGACCTAGTATGGGCCATTATGACTATTACAAAGGAGTGATTTTTTTTTTCAATAACTCAATTGAAAACAAGGTCGATGTCAAAGAATTCACAGCACAGGAGTAGCCTCATAGAGACTTAATTTATGGACATTATAAAGTAGACGCAGGTGGCTTCTGAAAACACACAGCTAAACATGCAGCTTCAAAAGTGATATAAGTCATCTTGGAATTTAAAAATTATTTTTTCAAATTGGAATCTATGCAATATTTTATTGGATATCTTTTTGCATTGCTAAGAATTGTTCTTTTCTATCTTTACTATGCTCAATTTGATGGTTCAGGACATTTTCTTTTGAAAGAAAGAATAAGAGGAGTGTTTTAACAATGATGGGTAGATGGTTTATAAAATCTGTTATTATTCTTATTTTCTTATCAGTGTTTCTGATAAATTATCAACTTTTTCACCCTGTGCCTAAATCTCACATTTGTGGCCAATCCTCCAAATTAGGACACAGAACTAGTTCAATTTATTACTTTCACTTGTACAAGCTCCTCTAGTGGCATCTAGACTGGAACTTGTAGCTACTCTTGCTCCTGTTAAAAAGAAATCCTGTTTTACTAGGTGCCTAACATGAAAATGTCTTGTTAAAAATGATTCAGTTAGTGTTGACAATGCAATCATGTTCAATCAGAATATTTAAAATTAATTCAAATTTATTTTGCACATATTGCTTTCCTTTAGAGTATCTAATAACTCTATTAGGAAATGACATTCAACTAAATATTGAATCTGATTTTCAAAAGGATAAATTAAGTCACTAAGAATCATTTCACTGTTGCTTTGTATTACATTTGTATTACAAAGCTGAAGTTCATTATTAACGTCTTGATGCAACGGATCTAAAGATCTCTTGCAAAGGTTTCTTTTTGAGTTAACTCAGTTTGATTCCCAGATCCTCTTTTCCCTTGCCTTGTTTCCTAGAACAGGGCTTCTTTTGGTCTGCAGGGGAAATTTTCAGGGAATCTCCCACTTCTCTTCCTTTGACTCCTGTGATTAGTCCAATAATAAACTGACATGAGAGAGATTAGCAAGAGACTAATTTAATTTCATGTAGATAAAGGTCCATAAGATATGGAACTTAGTGAGTTACCAAGACAGCCAGTTTTTATAGCATTTAGACAAAGAAGCAATAAATCTGTGACAAACATGAGACAAAGAAATTCTTGAAATTTTTTGTTTGGACAATGAATTTAGTGAGGTAAGCAGAGCTTGTTTATATAGCTTCGTATTCCTGTCTCTGATGAGAAGGTGTCTCTCTATCTCTGTGTGGGGACAGTTCCTTTCACATAAAGATTTATTTCCTGCCTTCAGGGAGACAGAGAGGAGGAGGGTCAGAGAAGATTTATGCTTTTAAGAAAAGGGGAAGTTTAGGGCTACATTCAGTCCCTGTTTTTTTTTTGTTTTTTGTTTTTTTTTGCTTTTTTTGTAATTCAAAATAATCAATATGCTACTTTCACATATCTTGGGCAGCCTGATCTGGGACCCAGCAGGCTTTTATTTCATATTTGAAATTTGCTTACCAATATCAGCTTCTTTGTAAAGGAGCTGAAAAGATAGCAATCTGTATTTCCTTAAAAGAGAATGCTGTCGGACATGCGGAGTGGTGGTCTTTTGGAAAGTACTGTTGCAGACAATGCTCGAAGAAAATATATGATGCTTTCCACTCCCCACCTCCACATTTTAATGATAGACATCGGGAAAATCTGACTCAGTGTTTCCAGGTTCATGTTATAAATTATGCAGGAATCAGACTTTTAAAACACCACAAAAGGCAAAGCAGAAATTTTAGGGTGTCTGCATCACCTTCCCATAAAGCGATTAGCATTGATTGCATCAAGATCTTACCAATAAAAATAAACACTTAAAATATTTAAGTGAATCAATTTTCCTGAGGCTTAAGGTTCAGCATTTTAAAGTCTTCTAAATTTAGCTGGGTATCTTCCTGAATAGAAAAATTTTTGGTGACAATTAACCATAAGAAAAATTTTATTTTTGTGTTCACTTTTAATCATTTAAGTTTAATGGCTTAGCATATTATATAAAATGTATTAAATAAAATGCAAAAGACTTTTTTCCTGCTAGACATTTGCTTATATTAGTGTATAATATTTTTTATAGCCCTAGCTAAATAAAACAATATATCTGGTGTGATGAAGTGATTTAAAGATGACATTGAAAGACAATTTTGTTTGCTAAATGATTATATTATCATTTAATTTGTTGTTCACTCTATGAAAGTGTTGTACTCCATGCTGTAGCATGTATGAAAACAAGTGAGACACAGTTTTCCCTCCTTAAGCTTACAGTCCACAGAGGAAATCAGAACATGTGTGGATGGAAAGACCATAAAGGAAGAGAGACAAAGTTGTGTGAGGTCCAAAGGCAGACAGGGCAGCACTGAGTTGAGGTCTTAGGGAAGGTTTTTATGGAAGGGGGATTTGAGAAGGACCTTGAAAATCTTGAAGCATTGGTTAGCTGGAGGTGTGTGGTGGGTGTAGATGTGGTTGAGAATGCTGAGTGTGTGCATTGTGGTTGTGTCTTGGATACACATGAAGAGGCCTAGGAACTAAGATTGAAAAAGTAAGGGAAGACCACAGAGAGCCTCAGTTAAACTTTTCCTGAAATTTTCCCTAATGGTTAGTGGCAAGGTAGAGCTGACATTTGGAAGCACTCTAGTGGGTGGAATGGAGAGAGAAGGAAGTGGAATAGAAAAAAAAAGGTGTGTGTGGTGGGGGGAGTTGTCTAGGTATAGTGTTTTGAACAGAGTACTATGCTACTCTTCTGTTCAAAGTTTCTATGCTTTCCCATTTAGTCACAGAGAAGTCCCCTTTCTATTTGACCTAGCAGAGCTATGACTTAGCTCCTGATTACCTCTTTGACACCACCTCCTTCTTGGAGTTCCACTTGTTTATTCTTCCCAGTGGGCTCATCATTGGACTTCAGATGTGACAGTCATGCCCTCACCTCAGGGCCTTTGCACTTCCCTCCCTGATTCAGGAATTCTGGGGTATGATCTGATAATTTGCATTTTAACAAGTTCCCTAGTGATACTGATACTGGTGGTCCAGGGACCACACTGAGAGAACCAGTGCTCTCGAACATAGTTGGAAAAAGCTTTGTTTTTCATAAAGAAGTTAGAAGATCTCTGTGTTTCACTAATGATGATTAAACAACATATTTGGTGACCGAGAAACTCAGAGTCAAATCTGAAATCCAGGAGGGATGTTACAGACATATTTAATTCTTTTACAGGGAAAAATGGGGGTTCTGTTCTATTATGTTTTCTTTATTTCTCATTCATTTTTTGTTTCCTTTTCCCTTTATTATTTTTTTTTGCAAAGTGTTGTGTGTGTGTGTGTGTGTGTTAAGTCAAACCTTTATATGGGACTGATAAACTTATGAGGTAAAAAGTAGATGGTAATAGCCCTGGCAAAGAATTCCTGAAAAATAAAACTCTTTGTCCTCAGGGCAAATTAACAGTGGGGTTACTCATCAGAGGAGTATTTGCTTAGAAAGATATATTAAAATACTCATTAGCGTCAGGTTTAAACAAGCAGGATGGTACTGTGGCCAGTAACCACTAATGATGTGTTTTGGGTCCTAACAGCTGTCATTTCTGTCCACTGTGAGTAGTGAGTGTCTAGGAGCCCCGTGTGCTGGCCTAGAAGTGACCGGCATGCCCGGGTCAGCAGGCTATTCTACTCCTTTACTGGCAAGTCCCTATGCCTTTGCCAATGTTGTTA